ATTACATTTATATAAAGAAGCGCCACAATTATGGATAGTGTAACTTGCACAATTTTCGTCTCTTGGCGTTTCAAATGATGTGATACACGAAAATGGCCACAAGGTGGAGACTGAAATGGTGTCTCCGGCTGACAAACATCACCCCGTTCCACAAAGCGGGATGGGGACTGTCGCTGAAGCATTACACATCTATCATGTGGATAGAGCACCAGCTGAATTAGGACAAATATACAAACCTACAGAGAGTTTGAGAGGCGACATTTGTCAAAGATCAGCGCTCCATTTACAGCACCATCACCTGTGACACGGAGCCTGGTGGAAAAACAGCCACAACTGGCTGACTGTGACCGGGGGTGGCGAGGGAATAAGATGGCGCTCGGTCCCTATTTATCATTTATGCCGTAATATGTGCTTCTGTCCATAGCGGTGGGACAGTTGAACCATTTACACAGCTTGATAGTTCAGTGGAGGAGAGAAAGTGCCTTGCTGCCGGTTTGACGGTATAACAGCAGGTACCCAGCATCTCTAAATGGAGCTAAACATGGAATGGCGAACCAGGTGTCGGGCTCTGTGTTTGGCCCCTGTACAGGCGGGGCGGGGCGGCCCATCACTCAGTAAATAACGCGGCGTAAAGGAAACACAGAAGAGCTCTGGACCCTAACTGCTCCACAGAGGGCGTAAGGCGGCGTGTGGTTAGGGCTCGAGCTGTAACGGGATGCACATGAACGCCATTCCCCCATGGGAAGAAATTTACAAAAAACATTCCCCTTTAAAAATACACCCCCCATCACCCGAAACTGTCTGGTTGTAACTCCCATAAAGATAAACCTACTATACTGCGATACTGGCGGACTCCGGAGCGAAACACAATTTAATTCGGACCATGTGATCATTGTCCCCACCAGAGCCCACCTGATAAAGATACCCCCTACATCTCCAACACCCCCTCTGGCCAGCAGAGCCATACTACCGTTTGGCCCTTGAGCAAGGCTCATGGAGGTTTTACTTAAATAACACTGTTCTAGGGGCAGTAGTAAAAATGATTGGTTCAGAGACATAACCAATCAGGTTGCAGATGAGGTGGGTCCAAGCAACTAGAGGAGGCGGGACCAAGACATCCGATTTGTTTGCCCTGCCCCCTCTAGTTGCTTGGACCCACCTCATTGATCAAAAACTGGCTAACTGACAGGAAGCAGCGAGTAGTTATTAGATGCACAATGTCACAGTGGGCCTCCGTTCATAGTGGGGTACCGCAGGGTTCAATTTTAGGACCTCTATTGTTCCTAATTTACATTAATGATATTGACACAAATACATACAGTAAACTGGTTAAATTTGCAGACGACACTAAGGTGGGCGGGGTAGCAGATACTAATCTAGCAGCAGAGAGGCTTCAACGGGACCTGGATTTAATTAGCGAATGGGCTGATACTTGGCAGATGAAATTTAACACAGATAAATGTAAGGTAATCCATGCAGGGAGCAGAAATATACAGTACAGATATTTTATGGGTTCCACTGAAATAAAGGTAGCTGATTACGAGAAAGATCTCGGTATGTATGTTGATGCTTCCATGTCCCCCTCTCGCCAGTGTGGGGAAGCAATAAAAAAGGCGAACAGAATGTTGGGTTATATCTCTAGATGTGTGGAGTTTAAGTCAAGGGAGGTGATGTTACACTTATATAATTCCTTGGTAAGACCCCACCTAGAATACTGTGTGCAGGTTTGGTCACCATACCTTAAGAAGGACATTGCTGCCTTAGAAAAGGTGCAACGAAGAGCTACGAGAATCCTGGTCTTAGAGGAATGTCTTATGAGGAGAGGTTAGCGGAACTGAATCTGTTTAGCCTTGAGCAAAGGAGACTAAGGGGGGATATGATTCAGGTCTATAAGATTCTAACGGGTCTGGATGCTGTTCAGCCAAATGACTATTTCAATATTAGTCTAAATACTAGAACTCGTGGCCATAAGTGGAAATTAGCGGGAGAACATTTTAAAACAAATTTGAGGAAGCACTTCTTTACACAGCGTGTAGTCAGAGTATGGAATAGTCTTCCTGCTAGTGTAGTGGAAGTTAAAACCCTGGGTTCCTTTAAATCAGAGCTAGATAAGATTTTAACAACTCTGAGCTATTAGCTAAGTTCTCCCCAAACGAGCTTGATGGGCCGAATGGCCTCCTCTCGTTTGTAAATTTCTTATGTTCTTATGTTCTAACCTGATTGGTTACGTCTCTGAACCAATCATTATTCCTTCTGCCCTCAGAACATTTTTGTGTAGGTAAAAAAAAAAGTAACATGAGCTTGAGCAAGGCCCTTAACTGCAACTGCTCCAGGGGTGCTGGACACTGGCCAGCTGTGCACTGTGACCCTCAGTCCTGCTGTCACCTGTATACGCGTCTGTGCGTCTCATGAAGAAACAATGGGGTACAAATCCACAGTATCACTCTTCTGTTCTAGAGCCACACTGGGTAGCTGTGGGTCTCCCGCTGGGCGGATTTTCGCTAACATGCCGGAGGAGTGTCATTGCCATTAGCACAATGGGTTTGCTGAGGGAATGGAGGAGCACAATAGATTTCCAAAGCTGCTGGGAGTCGCGGGAAATGTACAGTGCTCCATCTTCCCGAGCGGCGGGAGCACGGTCGGGCATTTAGCAGAATTTGTTCCATCCTCTATTAGCAGTGGGATGCACTCTGAGGCAAAAGTCGATGTCATAAGAACGGACCGGCGCCCGACAGTGCGGAGGCCCCGCCTTCCCAGGAACACCGAGCTGGGTTTCAGGAAAAGGCCGATGAACCGAGGCGACACATAACCCCCGACCTCCTGCGATTTCCTGAAATCCGGAAGTGCGCATCTCATCGAAAGCACTTATCCGAAACTACCAGGGGAACTGCGGAAGGGGAAAAACAGCCGACTCTGTTCAACTGCATTAACCGTGGCAGTGAAGCTAACTAAGCATTAAATCTTTCCCTCGGAAGCTGGGCTATTGACAGACTCCTCAGGAACAATACCTGTCGTAAGGGTACATGAACAAGTGCAGCTATTAGCATCCATCTGAGAGCTACAGTCTTAGGTACCACGTGGATGAACTTCAAGGCCACACAAGAGATAATCCTACGCCGCTTACATTTTTTACGGACCTTCCCCATGAGTCCAAAACTTAACTGCAAAATTAGTTTAGGTAAACATACAGAATCTTTTAGAGTAGACGGGGATTGGCATGTCCCTACAAACGTTGTCATGGCAACCTCAACATCAGTGATGCTTCATATGCCGTTCTGTGTACTAGACTCGATTGGGCCGTCCTAGGTCTTCCGCCAACTGCCCTGTCAGAAGGTAATTGGCCACCTGCCTCACTGACATGACATAACACGCGTCCTCGATCCGTATGCCGTGGTACTCCTGGTCAATGGCAGAGACACGCTTTGCCCTCTGCTTCCTACAAATCCTGGACCTGACCACCTATGTCAAACGAACCTGCCGTTAATGTCCCATGAACAGACCTGAGCCAAGACAACACAAGGGAGACAACAGAGGATCCGGCCGTTTCCATGCCAACCAACTCTGCACCATCTCCCGCTGTTGCTAGGCAGCCCATCAGCACAATTACGTTGTTTTTTTTTTAGAGGCGTGAGGGTTGTCTTCAAAACGTAAACCTGTCAGGGATGTCGGGGAAGCTGTAGGATACTGTCAAACACAATTTCTTCCCGCTTCTCTGCTGAACGCACCTGAGCAGGAAAAAGGTCTAATTATTCTATTCCTGATTTGCATAAGTCGGAATGATTGGCTGCCCGGCAGCGCTAAGGAGTTACTGACAACAGGCTGAAAGCTGCTTACAGGCAGGAGGGAAGCATCCTATCCTCCCAGGGGGGGACCTTCCAAAGAGTGAGTGAGCGGAGAGATGCTAAAAAAACCAGGTTACTCCTTCAGGGATGTGACACAGCGGCCGTCCCAGTTCATCAATCGGCATGCCGCGATTTCCCAGCGACGCGCCGGGAAGGGGAACCGCAGCCCTGTCACCCACCAGCCTTACGAATCAGCGTTACGAATGCCTAATGAACACGCTCAGCTTTCCAAATCGGATCCGGGCCGTGCGCTTTCTGGTTAGCGTTTCCCAGTGTTTATCTCCCCGTAGAATTTACCCACCCGTCTTACTGTCTAAAACCTCACCTGAGAAGTTGCCCTGCCAGAAAGTTACACTGCAACACTAGCATGTTGTAAAACTAGCAAGTCACAATACTTACAGCCTTCTGCTGTTATAAACTGTAACACCAGAAGATTACAGAACTGCATCAGTAGACAGTATAGTGTGAAAAGCATGTGCAAAATGTTCATACTACTAAATTGTCTTGCAGGTTGTATGTTAAACCAGAGTTCACCCACTGTACAGTTCCTTGTATATTTAATATACGTGGCCAATGAAGATCTTTCTGATTCTGATTCTAACCCCACAGGACATACTACCGGAAGGTTATAAGACGTCAGACGGTAGGAGGTTGAAACAGCGGCAGGTTCTGACATCAGCAGATGAAACACTAGAGGGTGACGATAATATCGGGAGTGATAGTGGCGAGTTAGACAGCAGCGGTGGCCGCAGTCTGGCAGCGGGGGGGGGGCTCAGAGATGGGCTGGAGCAGCGCCTCACACAGCCTGTGGTTCACACGACCAGCAGGACCAGGCTTTGAAGGGAAACTCAAGCCACCTCGCCGGGCTGAAAAGGGCAGGAAATGAGCGGGCAAATTGTGTTCCGCGAGGGATGGGACAGCTCCGCCGATCGCCGCCTGCCTACAGACCCGGGCGGTCCCTCTCGGCTGGCTTCCCCGCTGCACGGATTTAATCACATCCGACCGCTCAGGTTAATTCTTTTGTCCTTATCCTCCCTCTTCCACGCTCATGTCCCACGAGCCTTCTCAGCCTATCAGCAGATGGGTTGGGGCCCGCTTGGGCCCCGGCAGGACCAAAATCATGTGTTTGGGGAGGTGTGGCCTCCGCGTTTGACTTACCGTTGGTGCAGATCTCGTACGGGGAGCAGAGCTGATCCTCAAACAGGCAGCCTGGAAAGCAGGGAGAAGGAAATACCATCAGAGGCCTGTAGGTGGCAGCACGTCCTGGTGACACGAAAGCTTCCACCTTTATTTTGGTGAGCAGGTCAAAATATTTAGTCTACATGCAGTTCTTTGTTCATTTTTGGTTCAACCAGTCCACTTTATATTCATTCCATAGGTAATTTTGAAACTCTTTCCTCTGGGTAAAAGCACAGGTCATGGATTATGGAAAATTAACCACTGACTACATCCGTACACTACTTTCTTGCCAGTAGGGGGCCTAATAGCTAAAAACAGGAACCCTTGGCTTTGTGACCAGTTAATCATTAGCACAGCCAGTGTAGAGGAAGCTCTGACTGCAAGGTGACCATTAACACAGCGAGGCAGGGTAGCTCTGTAAGCTCTGTAAGGCCCTTAGATTAAAGGCACCTGCTATGCAACCTAAACAGGTACTGCCGGGCTTTGCGATTTGTCTAGACATCAGGTGGATTAGAATAAAGCACAAGTGTGAATAAAAGTACCATCCAAAAGAGATGAAGGGGCTCTGTGAGGCGGCGATGAAGACGGCCTGATTTCAGAGTTGGGCAGAGACACAAATAGCAGACTGTTCATCCCTGAGAAGATTTTTATCACTATAAGACAAGCCCCCATATCCTGCTGGAGATATGCTACAGCAGGATTGGGTGGGGCATGGCAGGTGGGGCGGGGCATAGCAGCAGCAAAGGAACCCATTGGCTGAAACAGCAGAACGCCCGCCCACTAGGATCATGGCCTCAATGGAGGCGAAATCGTTTGCTGCCGTGGGGCAGGGCGGTGAACTTACATGCCCCGCCGCTGAAAATGATTTGTAGTCAACAACGCACACAGTGTGAAAACAGTGAAGTTCATGACATAAACCGGGAGTGTGTAATCACACCACAAGGGGGCGAGCTGGGGAGGGGAGAGGGCGCCTCTGCTTCTGTGCTAACATAATTAACCGAGCTCATTGCTTGGGCAGCGAGCCGCAGCACCTGGGTTTGCAGGTGTGAGTCGTTTACAGATCGGGCAGCTTTCCAGGTGACGGCTGACTCACAGCTTTCATTTAAGCGATGGGGACACTTCAGGGGACGCCGAGGACTCGGGCCGGGCGCTACGAGGGCAGCGCGGCCCCCTCTCCGGGCCCTGAGCTCCGTGGGACAATGCGGGGCAGCCACCGGCTGAACAAATCACAAGAAAACGTAGCGGCGCCCCGAGGGCTTACCGACACTTTTAATTAACCATAAATATGCCGAACGGCATGATGACGTTCGGTAATAAAAGCCTCAGCGGGTGGAAAAACCTCGTCAAACTGAGCCGGGGGGGGTGGGGTGGGGGTGTTACAGCTTAATCGATAGCTGATCGCTTTTCTGACAACGTTTATTTTTTTTAACAGACCCGAGGACGACCCGTAAGGCGCAACTCGACGCAATCCATCAGCATGCCATATCTGTGAGCGTTTGGTTATGCCTGGAGACTGTGCCCGCCGCCTGCTGCTGCGTTCATCTGTCGCGTTTATTTGCTAATCCTCCCAGACATCGTGCATCGCTCACCCCAGGCTAGCACAGGAATTCTAATTAGCAGCGAGCGCGGGCCGGTGCGGATGCGGCGAGCCTTCCCGTGGATTATTAAAACATTCGCGCACACACACCCTCTTCTTCCTCATGCCCCCCCCCCCCATTCCCAATATGCTAATTCATCTCCCCAGCCAGGTGCACGCTGCCTGCGAGGCCGTGCCTGTCGTCGACGGCGACGGTGCAGAGCCGGTCGGCGTGGGGGGGTTGGGAAGCGATGCGGGGGCGGGACGCGAGCAGGACTGGCGTCATCTGCACAGTGGGAAGGAGCACAAGGAATATTAATCACCCCATCGGCAGCGGGGGGGGGGGGCAGGCCTGAAGGCTCAGTGGCTTGGAGTGGGGGGGGCGGGGGTCTGTTTATAACACTGCCACCCAATCGCCGCCCCTGTATCGCTGCCCTCTGACCTTTCACCCCCCCCGGCCCCGCGGCCTCTGTCTGTCCATGCGAACCAGGCTGGATGTGGACACGCCGGCAGCAGACGCACGCATGGATGTGTACATCCGATGTGCAAACATGTGCGCACACTTGATCTCACACGCATGTTACCACGCACAGCGACGCACAACACTACGCGTGCGTACATACTGCGACTGCCCACAGTAAAAAACCAGCTCAAAATCACCAAACACCCAGCTCCCGACTCAACCCCAGAACAAAGCCCCAGTACTGACCAATAAACGTTTTTTTGATAGTACAGTCTCTCTGTCATTGGCCCAGCATGGCCTAAAATCAGTAATACTATCAGCTCAGGCAGTGATGCAAGCATTTGATTGGCTCTCTGAACTGGCAGTCAAATCTTTACGGCATTAAACCAAGCATGCGGCCCAGTAGTGGTTGTAGTGACGTCAGTTAAAAATGGGTTGTACTGGTGTTGTGACTGGAACACCTTGGACTTACAGCTGGGTAAAGAGGGTGTTTATTTAAAGGGACGGAGTGTGACAGCTCCCAGGCTGTACGTGATCTGCTACAGCGGGTCTGTCACCAGGGGCTGGAGTCCTGCTCGCACAGACCAGCCCCCTCCACCGGTGACTGCACAGTCCTCCCCCGTTCTTAAATAGAAACTCCATTAATGAGCTGGTTCATGCGTCAGAAATCCATTTAGATTTTAAAGGGACGGAGTCACTCATTCATCCAGATCGCTGTATCGGTGCTTTTATTCTCCTAATCATCCTTACATCCATCTATCCATCTTCCATAAATGCGTATCCTGTGCAGAGCCTGGAGCCGATCCCAGGAGGCACAAGGCAGGGGACGTCCCGTATGGGACACGGTGATTCACTGCCCCTCTTTGGTGTGCCTGATACCGCCCCCCCCCCAACCCCAGACGCCCAGCGGAATTCTGGGATGCCACCATGTTCGCCATCGAGCCGGTGCTGCCTTCTGCTTTGGGGAACACGCGGGAGTTTGCTGATCTTCCTTAGCGTAACCTCTCAGGACACGATGGCTCTTCCATCCTCTCTACAGGCCCTGCTTCGATCCGACGTCCGTGATCCCTAATCAAGTATAAGACCCCAGGGCAGGTGACACCCGGGACGGGATGCCAGTCCATTGCAGGGCACCTGCACAGGCAAACGTGATCATGCCATCAAAATCACGGGATCCAGAGACACCAGATCACCTAAAATGTGTGTTTTTGGATTGTGAGAGGAACCGAGAAGGGAACTCGCACGACATCCAGGCTTAGACACTAAAACCTCCCCAAACCTAAAATATCCTTCCGCTCTTGGGGGCCCATCCAGCGTCACCCGGCCCCCCAGGGCCACTCGGCCCTTGCAGACACACCCCCTACCCTCTGCACAAACGGCGGGTTTGTCCTGCTCCTTAGTGTCAGCAGGTGGGTGTAATTAGGGCGCTGGCCACGTAGAGCCCCACAAGAGCAAACATTAGGTGTGTTTGTGCACTCAGCGCCGTGGGCGCTGTTTAAACAACAGGGAGCGTGTTTGGTGCGGCGTGACGTGCCGGGTCTGGATCCCGAGGTACCAGGCACGTGTTAACATTATCAGACCAAAAACCCGGTCAAACTTCAATCAAAGCGATAAAAAAGCCTCATTTCAGTGCACTGACAACATCCAAAAGAGTACACGGCTAATTGTATAAGCATTTATTCAATAGGCTTACCAGCAAAGTAAATATGTCAAACTGCGGGAGATACAGCCGGTTGTAATGGATACTGCAGATCATAGATCCACTGTAATCATTTAGTCATTGTGCCTTGTCACAAACTGTCACAGAGCCCGGCTGCTCAGATATTCATGCAGATTTATGCTTTAGCCCCAAGCTAAAATTTCTATACCAGTCGTGCTCATTTCCTGCATTACGCATTAATCATATATTATTTTTATGATGAATGCAACTGGAAAGCAGAGCGGGATGTATGAAAAGAAACTAAATACTCGAGCCAAAGGAAACTAGAGCTGTTGCAGGTACTCGTGTATTCTGAAGCCTTCCTGAAGAGACCTGAACAATTTCCCATGTCGGTTCACCCTACCTCTCCTACACTCTCACTCACTTCACAGATCCAGACCAAGCCGGTTTGCAAAGTGCGCCGAATAAACAGTTTGCCTCCGACAGCCTCTCCTGGATAAAATGGGCTCCTCGTGAATCGTTTTGGTTATATAAACAAAATTATAATATTTACTAAACCTCTCCCGGCGCATGCTAACCGTCACAATGGCGACGGTCGTCACGGCGACGCTCCCCGGCTTCAACTGTGGTAGGTTTCTCGTCTGCGGATCCCCTGAATTATTATCTAAAGTCCTTGATCTCTCAAACTCTCTTTGACTTCAGCGTGTATAAATGAGGACAGAACGTGTAAAGCATGACTGAGAGTACAGGCTACACAGAATCAATTCTTGTTATTATTCATCCATTTTCCATAACCCAGTGTTTCCCAGTCCGGTCCTTGGGAACCCACAGACAGTCCACATTTTTGCTCCCTCCTAGGGATCCACCAGTGCACCTTTGCTATTTCATGACACATGACGGATGGTTTGTTTCTGAAGAAACACTCAGCTGCCACTTCATATACCGTCGATGTTACGGGGCGAGAAAGAGACTGTAAACGGTGGCAGACGTCTGCACCCAGGTCAGCGGCTGATAAACCGGCTGGCGTGCAGGCGGAGGATTTATGGTGGATACTGCGGCAGCTGCCGGGGCGGCTGGGGGCGGAGCGCCTCAGAATCGGGGTCTAAGGACCTGGTCTGAGACACAGCACAGGGTCTGCTGTTGTGCAAATTCAATTCAGCTCTGTATAGCGCCTTTCACAACAGAGTCACCCCAAGGCGCTTCGCATGGGGGTGCTGTGACTCATACAGAATAATTCAAAAGTGGGGAAAAAGGGAGATAAAGAAATGACAGAAGAAAGACAGATGACAGCGGAGGAGAGGAACCAAAAACCCAAGCTGGCAGAAAAAAAA